AAGGAAGGAAGGAAGGAAGGAAGGAAGGAAGGAAGGAAGGAAGGAAGGAAGGAAGGAAGGAAGGAAGGAAGAAAAAACCAACCAACTACATAGCTCTTTATATATTTTCTTCCTAGGACTCTCATTACAGTTAAAAACTAATAATGGTCCTGCTTACACTAGCAAATGATTTGAGAAATTTTAATATTAATCATGTTAGTAAAATCCCTTGCTATCCAATATGAAATGACACCATCAGATACTTAATTGGCAAATAACAAACAAATAAATAAATAAACGAATGGGGGTTATTTACACCCACTTAAATTCTCACATACTATTTAGCTATGCTTATTTTTAAAAGGATAATGGTTTTTCTGCTGCCTAAAATAATTTGCCCAAGAGAAGACACAATCTAAATTAAATGCTAAATAAAAAGAAAGAGCTCGATGTTTTAACATTGAGGTGAGGTTATGCTTATGTCTTTTCAGAAAATGAACAAGTCCCAGATGACTCCTGATCTGGTGCATCCAACCAGGACATCCAGAGACCACCAGATGAATGAAAACATCTGAAGGCAGATGACAAACCCATCAACAGGAGATGTACCAAGGGGGAGAGTACGCTGATAAATTGGGGAGACAGCAGGACTTTAACTCCTCAAGCTGAGACTTTGTGGAAACAAGGACTAACCCAAAAATGATGCTGTTATGTTAATGACTGTATTACAAGTTAATTCTTGTCAATTAAGAATCCAAATGCCTTTCGTCAGGGAGGATAAGACACATATGAAAGGAGATAGTATGATATTGTTGTGCCATGCTAAGGACTGTTCATGAAGGCTTGTGTGGAATAGGCCATATTACACCCATTGAGCTCACAGCAAAAATAATAGCAGAAATTAAGACATGAATGAACTGAGGATGTTTTTGCCTTTCCTCAGTCCTCTGTTAGCTATTCTTACAATTCTCTCATGCTTGCCTGTGTTAATTAGACTAGCTATAGGGGCAATACATTCAACCCTGGCCTCTATTACAACCACTTTTTCTTTAAAAAAAAAATTAGAAGGGAGATATTGGGGACACAGAGGTCCTTGTACTCACAGAGAAGCACTAAAAGAACCGGGAATATTAATCACACAGGGGCATCTCCTCAATGGAGACACAAATCAAATTAGCTGCTTTCCAGGCATGGTCAGAACAGAGAGGACATGATCTAAAGAAACATGACTATTAACTGTGTTTTAGAGCTCCTAGGCTCTAAATAACAACATGTAATAAGGTACCAACAATGGTTAATTAATGTAACAAATGTGTCATATTAAGAATAAAGGGAACTAGGTATAAAACAGACAAAAACTCCCTGCTACTATCTTTACAATAACTTTTAAACCTAAAACTGTAATCAAATAAAAGTTCACATAAAAATTACTGGATTTTCTGTATCAAGAAATATTGATGTGGTGATTCATGTCTGTTACTCAGCACTTGGGAGGCAGAGGTAAGAGGATTATAGCAAGTCCAAGGCCAACCTGGCCTACACACAGAATTCCATTAAGAAAAGTAGACAGTGCACAGAAAGACAGAATGGAGGGAGTGACAGAGGGAGCAAGGAGAAAGGAGTAGGAGAGAAAGGGAATGGAGAAGGGAAAGAGAGGAGGGAAGGAAGCAAGGAAGGAAGGGGACAGGAGGTAAGGAGGGATACAAGAAAAAATATTTTTCATTTTATAGGTAAATTGGAATTATAATGATCTTTTTAAAATTTATTGTGTGTGTATAAGAGGGGGGAGGGCATGCAAGAGTGAGTGTAAGTGGATGAGAATGAGTATGCAGGTGCGTACAGGACACAGAACAAAAGTCAGAGGACAACTTTGGTAGATTCTCTCTTTCCACCATGGGTTCCACCCAGAACTCAGGTCATCAGGCTTGCGAGGTGAGCACTTTTACTAGCTGAACCATCTCATCTGCTGGACGGTATTTACAGCTGAAGAGAAATCACTGGAAAGATCTCAAACATATTTACAATAAATGTGTAAGTATACACTTACTCTCTTTCTTCTCTTCTCTTTTAAAGACAGAATCACCTCTAAGCAAGGCAGGCCTCAAAATTGCTATGTAGCTGAAGATGACTTTGAACTTCTGATCTTCCTATCTCTGTGTCCTAAATGCTGGGAATACAGGGTTCCTTGGCTAAAACTGCATATTTTGTATTACATCTGAAATAATAAAATATGGCTGAGGAGATGGCTCAGCAGTTAAAGCCCTTACTGTGTAAGGATGAGGATAGTAGTTGGGATCCCCAGAAACTATGTATGTGAACTGGTTGGCCCACGATTCCAGCCTCCAAAGGTAAAACCAGGAATCCCCACAGCAAGGTGGCTAAGGAGAATAGCTACATCAGTGAACTTTGGGTTTGACTGAGAGGCCCTTCCTCAATGAGAACAGAGAGGATGTATTCTGAGGATGATTCCTGATGTCTCTCAGGTTTCTACATGTCAAAACCTGTGCGTGCACGCCACATACACACACATGAAAAAATAAACCACTCCAATTAATCCCAGGTTGGGAATGAGTAGTAGTTGAGCCAAGATAAATCACAATTTGATTGCTAGCAAAGCTGGGGGACTGGTACAGTACAACTCATAAACTCTTAGATTTAAATGCATCCTGAAGTTTCCATACAGAGTTAAAGAACTGCCTTGTTGTAAAAGTTAACAGAATATAAACTCTATGAAAACCTTCAATGAAACAGGCCAAAAGAAGAATCAGGCTTTTAAAAGAGTAAAACCAATAGAAAGAAAACTGACTCAAAGGAGATATTATGGTCAACTAACAAAAAGCCTAGAAAAGGGAACAAAAGTGGAGGGAGAAAAATAATTGAACAGAAATTTCCCAATTAGAAAAAAAACAATGGATCGAAATCCTTGTTTACTTAATATTTACTTAAGAAAGATCCAAAACTGCTATTTGTGGTGATATTTTATTTGTGCTTTAATAAAGTTTGCCTGGAGATCAGAGGAAATAGCAAGCCATTTTAAATAAACAAAGAAGTCAAGCAATGGTAGCACACACCCCTTTAAGTAAACACTTAGCATGCAGGGGGGTCTCTGTGTGTTCAAGGCCACACTAGGGAACAGAGCCAAGCGTGGTGACACACGCCTTTAATCTCAGTACCAACCATAGAGACCTGGAGGTCTGTGCAGACAGGCAGACAGTGACAGAGCTGTGTTGGAAAAGGAAGTAAGATAGCTGGGCTAAGATAGCCAATGAGAGGGCAGAACAGCAAGGCAATAAAGGCATAAGTAGACCAGAAGTAGTATGCATTTGGAAGCTGCAGAGTTGGTGAGGTAAGGTTGGCTGGTGGCTTTCCAAACTATTTCCCTGATCTAAGGCTTTCACCCCTATATTTGCTTCCGAGTTTTGTATTTAGTAAGTCCATTTAGAAATTCATCTACAGCTGTTGTCTTGCTTGTAATTAACAGTTGGTAGACACCTAAAGCATATTTAATGAGTAAAAATATGTAACTCTAAAACACTCAGCCCGTGGTGACTTCCAATCCAATATCCTTTCTTGTTCCTTCTCCTCACATAATAACCCAGCACTATGAAAGTCTTTCCGGATAATGGACGGAAGCAGACTGCCCAGCCACCTGAAATGGAGAAAGGAGGCCACAAGCCAAGGGCAACTGTTAAAAGCTGAAGAGATAAGGAAACACGATCCCTTTCGAAACTCCTAGAAGGCATGCTGCCATGCTGACATATTGATTTAGTCTACTGAGACCTGCTTCTCAATATTTTCCAATAAGACAATTAGGTTTGTGTCATAGGAATTTGTTACAGCATGAGAAAACCAATCTATTGTGTTTCCTCAAATTCTATAGCCAGATTTGTTTCTGTTTCTCCTGTTTTAGAGCCAATATTATTGCCATTAACTCTCTCTACCTTTCATAGTTTAAACATTATTTCCCATCTTTCTGGGGTGCTTCTCAGCAGGCTGAAAGAGAAACAGACCAATGCAAAAGCACAGTAGCACCTGTAAAGTTAAAGGATAAAATCATTGGGAAATAGTGGGACTTCTTGTAGGGAGTGGAGGAAAGTCTAAAAGAACGTGTAAGGAGCAGAGGAAATCCTAAAGGAATATGTGCTATGCCAAGGATCCCAATGCATTAGACCCATAAGAACTGCCAATCTTCCTCTGGTCCATGTACGGATGTTCACAGCGCAGGCAGAAACTATCAACTATAGCTTCCTCTTCTGGGATTGACTGCAGCCTGAGACTGCTCCCCTACAAAGACTGACTACAATTAGATTCACTTCCTTATTCAGCCACGTACTATAAATGCTCCTCCTTATGCAGCTGTCTACAGTAAACCCACCTGGTCAATTCAGAGGAATAAAAGAAAGGCACTAAGTGTGCAGGTTGCTGCTGTTGCCGCCCGTGGGGTATTTCCACCAGAGTGAGCACAGTACAGCTGATCCCAGCTTTTCTGTGTGCCTGTCCTTTCTTCATTCCCTTCTTGCCCCAGTCAGGTCAATCCCCAAAGCCATGCAGCACATGGGAACTTATAGTAGCTGCCAATCATGTAGGAGATTGTGGCCTCAACAAAAAGCCCCAGCCAAGTAGTACTTTCACTACACTTTAAGCCTTTTAAAAATTTACTTCCAGTTCTACAGGTTTTCGGTACTGTAACAGTGGATGATAGATTTTAGTTAACACATGCTTAGTAAGCTGAAATATTAATGCATTAGTAGCACAGGTGAGATATATTTAGTGGCTGTCATAGTGGTATTAACGACTAGCACTTTGATACACATAAATTTTAGAATAACTGAACAAGCATTGGCAAAGAATGAACTCTGTACTAATGGATGGAGTCGAAGGCACCACTATGAATACTGAATAACAGAAATCACACACAATTCCTAACTACTTTTACCATGATGCTTAAAAATCAATGACATGCAAAAAGCACACCTGGTCCTTAGTTTGGTTTCTTAAATTTATTTCTAGAAGTGAAGATTCTACAAGACGAACCTAGAACCTTCTGGTGCCAAAACAAGAAATGTTCAAAAGTGATGAGGCATTCAGAAACATACAGGAGCTGGCATGAAGGTACTCCTATTAGTTAGCAAAAACAATCTGAATAACAAACAATACTGCTGAACTACAGAGAAAGTAGTACCTAAGTGCCTATCAGATAAGAGTGACATGAATCACCCTAAGCAGACAGGAAAGGGGGATAGCTCTTCTTTACATCAAAATTCCAGTTTAAAAAAGCATCAATAGATCCTAACACTGGAAGAGAATGTTTGCACACTCTCAAAGTATCTACACAAAATAAACATAAATTTGCATTTGCAAAGCTTGGTGGGTATTACTTCAATCATCTAGACAAAGTACAACCAATAGAAGTATCAAATCAGAAACCATGTACTTCCTGATAGGCATGAAAAAGGGCATATTACCATTTCTATGGCATTCTTGCCAAAAAGCATAACCATAATCTCATTATGAGAAGTCACTCATATTGGAGATAATTCTGAAAACAAAGGATCCATACCCTTCAAAGATACCAAAATTATGAAAGAACAAAACAAAAAACAAAAACAAAAAGGCAAACAAAAAACCTAGCATTACACAGGTCAGATAAATTAGGGAGACAGGACAAGCAAATAGGAGGAGGGGCCTTGGAATGGAGTCTGGACAGACATCAGATGTTGGCAGCATCATTGGCAAAATTCAAAAAAAAGGTGTGAATCTGATTTGGAACTAAATTCAACCTACGTTCTTGGTTCATATCTATAGCCAACTATAACACTACAGCAATGTAGTATATTATTAACCTTAGGAGAATTGGTATGTCAAAGGTATATGGTAACATTTTATAAACTCCCATTTAAATCTATATTAACCCAAAATTAGTTAAGAGAACAAAACCAAAACTGAAGCTGTACCTTATATAAAACTTTCTGGGCAGAAAAATAGTTCTTGTTCCCTTCATACTTACCAGAAAATTTTAGTAAACACTAATAAGAGTGTCAAACAATGAATAAGAAACCTTTGAGGCAAGGAATGTATATTCAAACAAATGTCACATTTTTCAAGCACTGAAAACAGAAAAGGGGCTATAAAAAGGCGCACGCGCGCGCACACGCACACACACACACACACACACACACACACACACACACACTATAAAAATGTAATTAAAAATTAAGAATCCCTCTGTAAACAACTTCAGAGCTTGGAGATATCTCCAAACAACTTGATGTAATTTCTCATGAGGGATAAACACTACAGGTTATGAGATAGGAACTCTAGGGTGGGGTCAAAATTTGGGGTTCTGCTTTGTGGCCTAATGTTCTTAGGCTACTTTCCACTGCATCATATATTAAAAGATGGAAGCCCCCACGAACCACCTTTCAATCTC